ACAAGGCATAAACATAAAATAAATATTCATTGTGTCATATAAATGGCTTGTTTGATCTGTTACAAAAAGCCACTGATCTTCAATCTGGCTATCATCAGCTTAGAATAAAAAGGAATATATTTGATGTCCGCCTCTAGAACTCGGTACATACATTAAGAATTATTTATGATACATTTTGGACTAGCCGATGCTCAAGCTATATTGATGTACATAATGGATAAGGTTTTCAAAGTTGGCTTTTTGGAGGAAAAAAAATTTCATAGTTCTTAAAAGCAATATTCTTTTATATTCTTGTAGTCATGAAAAACACGAGGATCGCTTTAAAATTATGTTAAAGACGCTTGATAAAATCAGCTTCTTACCAAGTTCTCGAAGCATGAATTTTAGCTAGACCCAGTGGCATTCCTCGGATATATTATAACTAAGGGTGTGATTACGATAGATTCCTATAGGATAGAAGCAGTTCAAAAGTAGAAAGGATAAACTACTTCTATGGAGATTCACAACATCTTGGGATAGGGAGGCTACTACAAGCTATTTTTGTAGAATTATTTTATATTTGTGGCGCCATTTACCAAGTTAACATAGAAAAAAAATCAAAATCAAAGTTGCAGTGGACGAAAAAGTGAGTAGAGCTTTTCGAAGCTCAAGACATGTTTGACGACTATCAATATTAGCCTTACCATTATGTTCTAGAGGATTCACAGGGTTACGTAATGCTTCAGATGTCAGATTAGGATATGTTCTCACGTAGACTGATCATGTGATAGCTTATGCTTCAACACAGCTAAAGAAGTACAATCAGAACTATCCCATATATGATCTGGAGATTGTCATAATTGTATTTGCTCTGAAGATTTAGAGAAACTATTTATACAATAAAACTTGCGAGATTTTTATAGACTACAAGAGTCTGAAATACGTCTTCTAGCAGAGACATTCGAATTTTAGCAGGGTAGATAGATAAAACTATTTAAGGACTATGATTATTGCACTATTCTATATCATCCTGAAAATGCCATTGTTGTGGCCAATGCATTAAGTAAAAAAAAGATATGGGGTAGTTCGGCACATATAGCTCCTATAACAAGACTTTTGGTTAAGAATATGCACAAACTAAATGGTACAATTGTCAGATTTAGTGTGAAAAATTTCAGAGCCATTGTTGGCTTGTGTTCAAGCAAGGTCTTTATCAGTAAAATGCGTAAAGGCCACTCAATATAAATATGAGCGATTATGCAAACATCAAGATGAGGCTCTAGCTAGTAAAAGAAGGATATAACTATTGACAGAAATTGTATTCTCGACTAGGTAACTAGTTATGTGTACTAGATGTAGATATATTAAGACGAGTTATTCTTGAGGAGCTCACAGTCCTAGATGTGTACATCTGAAGCCTAGTAAAATGTACCATGACTAGAAGAAAATTATATTTGTGGAAAAGAAAACGAGGAAGATTAACTTAACCTTGTTTCTAAAAGTTTAACTGGTTAGCATGTCAACATCTATGACTTGCATGCATGCTACAACAACTCGAGATTCCAAAGTGAAAGTAGAATAGAATAAAAGTGAATTTTATGACAAAACTACCTTAAACAATTAGAAGTTATAATTATATGTGGGTAATTGAAATTGGCTTACATGGTATGCCAGTCAAAATTTCGCACACTGAGGATAAATACACTCAAATATACATGAATGCAAAATTGTCGAACTATACGAGGTCTATTGCCCATCATTTCTGACAGAAGCTCACAATTTACTACACGATTTTAACAATCTTTCCTAGAAACATTGGTTACACGAGTAGATAGATCTTAGTATCCTATTTTATCAGCCAACAGGCAAGCAGTCTGAATGTACTATGCAAATCTTGAAGTACATGTAGAGAGCTTATATTTTGAGTAGGAGGTAGCTTGTACCCTTATATATCTATAGCTGAATTTGTCTACAATAATAGCTTACAGTCTAGTATTTAGGTGGTACCATATGTAGCCTTGTATAGTATATGATATTGTTCTCCTATCAGATGGTTTGAACCCGATGAGACTAACTTATTAGGACCCGACTTAGTGCAAGAAGCTATTGACAAGGTCTAGTGATCAGATTGCTCACAACTCATAAAAGACAAAAGTCTTATACGGATAAAAGGAGAATGGACTTAGTTTTCACAATTTGGGGTAGAGTGTCCCAACGAGTTTTCCCTATGAAAGATGTAATGTGATTTAAATAAAAAAAAAAGAGGTAAGTTGAGCCCAAGATTAAAAGGGTCGCACGAAATACTAGACCAAGTGTGAGTTATGGCGTATTGTTTGGCACTTCTTCCCGAATCGTCTTTCACAAATCAAGTATTTTATGTTTATGTGCTAAGAAAATGTGTAGCAAACTCTTTCATATGAGTGAAGCACCGATTATAGAGTATAATGGGAACTTATTATATGAGGAGGAGTTTGTAGCTATTGTTGACGGACAAGTAAAAAGGTTACAGTCAAATAAATTGTGTTCGTGAAAGTCTTATGAAGAAACCATAGAATTTAAAAAGCTACTAGGGAAGCGGAAGATGCTATGTGAGTATCCTCACCTATTTCAATTTACAGATACGTACTTGAGTTAAATTCGGGGACCGAATTTCATAAGGAGGGGAGAATGTAATACCTCATATTAAAGTTAGGGTATATTGGTCTTTTAGTCCTAACTTAAACATTTTATTTACAAAAAGAAAAGAATCAAAAAAGAAAGAAAAAAAAAAGAAAGGGAAAAACCTAATTGATTAAAAGAATGGGCAAAAGCCCTAGAAGACATGAACGACAAGAAAAGAGGGATTTAGGGGAAGGAGAAAGTTGCGAAGAGTTTCTCGTAGAAATAGAAGCAATTACCAAGTCATACATAAAGTCTCAAATACACCAACTGAAATATTGACATTGAAGAGAAAGAGGGAGTAACGTTTGGGTCTGCAATTTCGGTGTGATATAGAGAAGTAGGGAAAACCATTAAAGTTTTAAAAAGTTTCTTTCAGTTCAAGCAGTATCAGTTCTTCTCTACAGGTTTGCTTGCCCTCATTCTCTGGTTTATAGAAAAATTTATTGGGTAGTGAATATTGTATAATAATAATAATAATAATAATAATAATAATAATAATAATAATAATAATAATAATAATAATAATAAACTATTATTGGCAGCGATTCTATTTAGTTTAGACTTGAATATCATGTAGTGTTAAAAATTGAATGAAAATATTTTATGAAAGGTTGAAATCGATAGAGTATGGATCAGTTTAAGTGAAAAACTCTTGACAAAAGCTACTTCTATAAGGACATGGTATAGTTATTAACTTAAACGAGCTTTAGAAGTTTTAAACGCGTATTTATGACATAAGGAATGTGATTAAGGCATATAAGTACTCTCGGGTAGAGTGGGAAAATCCAATTTGGCAAATCAAGAGTCAAACAAGAAATCATAAGGGCTGGTTATTTTGATTTGGTATGTTGATGGTTCACGGATGATACATAGATTGATTTTAACACAATTTAGGTGATTGAAGAAGTCGAACGGATTGCTTGTGGTGACATATTCGGTAATTCGGCACAAGTCCTGTGAGTAGTAATCTTACTACAATTTGTGTTTTCATAACCTGCATGGTTTATATATGATTTTGAAAATAAATATATTACCGATGCTTGAAATTGCATGTGGGGCAAGTTCTTTACTTGATATGATACCGAACAGTTTACTTGAGATGTTTACTGATTAATCTAAATGTTTTCACCGTTACAAGATATGTTTTACTGTTACTTGAGACATGATTACTGTTACCGAAATAAAATTTCCAGATTTGATAAGAAATGATATGCCCTTTATTATTTTGAAAATGCTTTTGTACGAATATTTACTATTTACAAGAAAGAGTATAAATGGGAGGAGACTTTGAAAGATACCGTAGCTAATGGCGGGTTCGTTAGACCTGGTGCACCTTGTATTTACAGATTACAAATTACCGATTACAGTTATAGCCCTCGCTAGTGGGAAGGTAGAACTAGCATACAGTTACAGTTTTCCCTCGAGTAGGGACCTACAGTTATATTTGACTCCTTTTACGAAAGGGTCCACACATTGATATTGATTACATGATCATTTCTTGGAAACCACCCAAACATAAAGATTTTCTATGATAACGGGTTACCGAGTTTATTACCGTTTGTTAAATTGATTTATGTTACAGGGAACACATGAATAGACTGATTATATTTACTGTTTAGAAAGGGCATTCTTATGATATTTTCTGGTTAATATGCTAGCATGCTTTCCGACTTGTCCCCATTAAAAACGGTTGTGGTTAAGTGTTATTATTCACTGAGCTAGCGACTCACTCCCCGCTATTTTTTTTACAGAGACAACAGTTGACGCGAGTGAGGATTTCATTAATTAGAGTACACGATTTGACAAATTTTTGGTGAGCCCCGCACTTGTTCGCGTGGACGAAGTGTTTATTCATTTGTTATGTTCTTTTCTTTCAAACTCTTAGAGTCGCTCCATAGTCATTTTGTTAGTGTCATGAATATTTGTTCATAATTTTATACCTACGACTAGTATTAGACTCTCTTATAGTATTTTGGAGATGAATTTAAGATTATTGTGTTACAAGTGATTGATTAATCGTGGTGAGTAACTGTTTGATTAGTTGATGAAGAATATGAGATATTTTGGTTAATATAGGTTCGTTTTGTTGTTGATTTTTGAGACAGGGTAAATATTTTGATAGTCCTTAAACATGGGAAACTCTGCCCAATTTTCTGTAAATTTCCGTTAAGGCTTGCTTTGGGATCCTACCCCCCGGTCTAGGCCCTAAATTGGGTCGTGACAGATTTGTAAGACCTATTGGAACGGTTTACAAGACCTATTGGAACGGTTCTATTAGACTATTATACCCTGGCTATAAATGAATATTTTATATATATAATAATTTGTAATAACCTGAAATTTATATAAATAAAAGGATAAAACACTTCATAATCTACATTGTCTCCATAAAACCAAAATGTTTTAACCCAATCACATAAGTTTTACATTTGAACACTTCAAGAGTTAGAGTAAGTTTCAAATGTTGATAATAAAAGATTACTAGAACATGGACAACAATTCAAAGTTCTTAAGTAAGGTCTAGATCTTCACAATCTTCATCTTCCCTTTCTTCAATTGTTCCACCTACAAAAGAGGATAAATAAAGTCATTATCCTTCAAGGGTTGATTTATCATTATAAGAATGGGTATGGTCCATAAACAATGCATAAAGCACAAAGTTGAACAACTAAAGCAAGGAAATCAAGCGAAGAAAGATATATTGGGAACTTTGTTCAACAAATTAATCATTCTACTATTGTTTCAGATATATGATAGGACTATTTTTTTACAGAACCAATCAAGTGGACTTATTTATCCAAGTTCAGTAACAAACTACACAAAATAACAGTAAAAACCTCAAAGACAAGAAAAAAAAGAAGACGAAAAAATGCATAAAAGTCTTAGTCTAAAATGCAAATGAGTCTTAATATAACACAGGAACAATAAGAAGTCAACAAATGTGCATAATATAACAACTTTGATATTCTTCAATGACCGAGAAATCCATCTTGAGCTTCATGACCCCCTCCTGCCACATTTTCTTAGGGCAATAGTAGATCCATATATGATAGGACATTAGTCAAAACTAACCAAATAACAAGTAAATTGGAATACCACATCACAAATGGAGCTATAAAAATAGTAAGGAATTAGAAATGTGGAAACTAAACTTTAAAAACTCAGTACTTTCACATTTACCATTTCTTAGACAAGTTCCACAATCAAGTGGACTTCTTTATCCAAGTTCAGTAACAAATTACACAAAATCTCTGTAAAAATCTCAAAGACAAAAACTTCTATTGAACCCAGTTACACTTGTACCTTAAGGCATCGCTACAAGCAGAGAGATCAGTCAATTTAAAGAAGAAAAAAAGAAGACAAAATGCATAAAAGTCCTAGTCTAAAATGCAAATGAGCCTTCCGGAAAACAGACAAAACCACCGATCCTTCCCATAAAGTAGGTATCGTGCAAAATCAAATAAATCTAAACAACAATTAAAACAAATCAAAAACAAGTTACACTTAGTAGAAGCTATAAAGAAAATTTGAACCGCATATAGTTGTAGACAAATTGAGATTTATAAACAAGCAATAAAAACAAGAAAACAAACCAACTTGTCTTGTATATATGCACACAGTAAATAAAAATCAAAAGCAAAGAGAAGAAGTGAGAAAGGAGCAGAAGTAATCTGAATACATAAGCCTTGACAATGTAAGCTGTAATAACTTACTGTCTGGTAATACATAAGCCTTGACAATGTAGGCCTTGCAGCTGTAATAACCTCATACTCAGGATTCTTGAATAACTACTCTCGCTTAACATTGAAACCCAAACACAAGACCAAGCAACCCACCATGTCCTATTTCAAGAGGCCAACATACTGGACCAATCAATGACAAGAACAGACATACTAGACCAAACAACCCACCATGTTGAACAAACTAAATATCATTTTCTCCATGTCTCATCACATCCCAAAAATAAGGTTGCAGAGCCAAGATAGACGTACTGACCTTGATTATTACTCCCAGTAGATTGACGATTGATTAGTTGCACGGCAGCTTGTTGTGCAGAGGAAGCTTCTCCAGGTGAACGAGCATAGAAAGCTAGCATGCTGGGATCAACTCGTAAATCTGGATTCAGATATTTAAGTTGTGAAATGATGTTAACTGCAACTTATAGTTCCATGGCATCTTTTTGTGCATTGAACTTTTCCTGCAATATTTGTTGCATCCTTTCTTCCTTTTCCTCTAATTTTGCTGCAAATCAGCCAATGAATACAGAGTTAAGTGATTTTTAATTAAACATAAACCAGACATTCTCAGCAAATCATGGGACAATACTTAGTTTTACCTTGTAGGCATCAGAGTTCTAATAATTAAAAAGATCCCTAAATTGAGATTGAGGAACATAAATCGGCTTTTTCTCCATTCGAAACTCGTCATTCTCATAGGCTTTATAATGGTCATTAAATAATTGATTCTTATACTTTCTCCAAGCATTTTGAATTGAATCAAAAACCCACTTTTTTGAAGCATCAAGAATGTCATATTTTTCCTACAAATTTGGTACAGTTAGGTTAGTGTAAAAAAATAAAATAACTACACAGAATATTGCAAACTTCAAACCTTGATATATTTCCACATACCTTCTTTTGTTTGAAGTTTCCTCCAATTAAACACATTAAGAGGACAAAAGGTCGCATTCCTTGCCAATGTGCCGAGGAAGCTACCCAACTCTGCTACAACATCATCAGTAGGACCTATGGGTTGATTGTTCTCGTTTAGCACAATTAGCTTGCGCTATTTCCTACCATGAACATTTGGCATCAGAGTTTTTCCTCTTTTTCTTTTTTCGGCAGAAGGACCTGCATTAATATTAAGTAAGAATAATCACCAAAAGTCAATATTGTTTGTTAATTTAACAAAATGAAATTTATATGTTCTTGCCTTATTCCTCGGATTGTTCGTTTGTTTTATGATTGAAAGAACCCTCAAATTTCTCATGTACCATTTGTGAAGTACGAGTAGTGGAATCCAGTAACTTTTGCTGCAATTGTTCACGTACTGCTTGTGATGCAAGAGAGGTAGAGTTGAGTGACTTTTGCTACACTTGCTCATGTACAATTTGTGCTGGAGGAGAAGCAGAAGACAGAGGCAGTTGCAATAATTGTTCTTGCACTTGAGCTCCTAATTGCGGAAGTTGTCTTTCAATTGAATTCAGTTGATGCTTGTCATTTGTCCTTGTAGCTTGAACAATTCTTTTTGTTTTCAATGATGAAACCTTTTGGTTCAGCAAAGATGCAAGTGATCCGGCTGCAATGCAATTTTTAGCCTTTTTATTTTTACTTGAGTGCCCTTCCTGACTCATGACTATTCAAATTCCTGTCAAAATCATAAAATTAAATAAGAAATAAGCTATCAAAGCATTAACAATAATGCATTGTATACACCTCACAAGTCTATGTTACCTTGATCTTTTCTGTAATCAGTCAGCCTTTCACATAAAAAAAATAGTTTCAATTTACTAAAGAAAGAATAGAATCAATTATTTTCTCTGAACAAAGTTAGAGAGACTATCATTACTTTGTGAAAGAATAGAATCAATTAGTTAGACATCACAGCTTTATATGCAAACTTGATAGAATCAATCAATTAGTTAGACTATCATTACTTGTTGAAAGAATAGAAAAGTTAAGGCACATATCATATCAATGAAGCATTATTTGACTTCTACATCATGCTTGAACATCTGGAGATGACATCTATTTAGATGCTGGACTTGGAATTATATAATTCCTGATATAGAATTAAGATGCAACCAACCTGATAGAAATTTCTGAAAGCTGCCAAATCAAAAAGTGCCTGTTTTATTGACAGATATTTCAGATTCCAAACTTCTTCACCAAGCCTGTTAGACATGCAAGGTTCAGAAGTAGAAGTGAGTCTCAGGTTACTCCAGTTATCGATACGACATAGAGTTAAGGTTAAAACTTAGAAACAGTACGTGCAACTTAGAGTTGTATCAAAAGCCATGATTTCTTTGCATACACTATAAACAATCAAAGAACTAAGCATTTATATTTCCATTATCTCACATACTTTATGCATAAAAGAATTCGATAAGCAAATTCTCACCAGCAAAGTTGTCCCAACAGATTCAAATCAAGCTTAAAATTTTGCACTTAAGTTTACTGTAAGCTTATCCATTGCAAAATTTATTCCATCATCGATGCAATTGCTCAAATCAAGAAACAATCTTATGTTATGTAACTTAAGTGCATTTGATGTATAAAGATAGTATCATAATTTAGCTGCCAAATATGTTGTGCACTTAAAACTTTTTGACAAGAGACTCTCTCTTTCATTATCATTCTATGCGATCAGTTATGAGCAATCACTTAGAAAAGGAACTACTTAGTGTTCAAGATGATCCTCATGTTAAAATTGTTCTTTGAATCATGCACTTAAAGTATTGGAGAATGGAGTTGCAACCTTGCCACCACTGAGCTACTGCTCAAATCCTTGTTAAATTCTACTTCAAGTCTCACAAGCCACCCATGTTTGTTTTTATTAAAAAATAAAAAAAAAAATTAAAAGGATGAGGAAAATGGATTATATTCTGAAACTGCTAAAACAAAGACACTAACTTGAATGCTGCAATTTGTATGTCTGACTAAATAACCATTTAAACCTTTAAAACAATATCATTTCCACATAGATGAGAGATGGATAATTTTTATTTCCATCCTAGTTCAAAAGATTTTTCAGTCTACTGCAAGCTTTTAAAACTATATGGTTTTCAAAAGATTTTTCAGTCTACTGCAAGATTTTTTATTTCCACTTGAATTTAGTTTTTAAATGAGATTCTAATAACTATATCAAACATACAAGCTTTTAAAATATTAGTACTTTCACCCAGAAAAATCAGTACCTCTTCATACAATCATGGGCTTGAAAGAGTTAAAAATATTTATGAGCAAAACTTCTGAACACAAATATTTTCAAATAAGAACAGTAAAAAACATCTAAAGCATGTTTTCTATATCTTACTAATAGCATCCTAAATATGACGACTATAATTTTTAGATAATAATTGTTATACTAATCGCAGACAAATTCATGCACAAAGAAGATGGAGGCTAATAGATGGCTTTTGTTCAAAGAAATTACACAAATACAACAACTCTTATTTTCAGTTTCTCGGATAAGATGAACAGACATATAACATGTTTTTCAAATTAATATGAATGATATTAATATTGAGAAGTTTTCCAAAGTAATATCATGCCAGGACACTACTGAATCTTTGTTCTCCAAAATAATATCATTCAAATTATTTCAACTCAAGCAACTTCTCATCTCATGCAACTTTTGCCGCAATGTACAACTACACCAAAAATGGAGGATGTTAGAGCCCATCCTAGTTTTAGCCCAAAATAAAAGTATAAATTATAAACCCTCTTATAAATTATAAACCCTCTTAATAAAACAAACTCGGATCCTTAAACCCCCTATAATTCAAACCATCCTACAGCATAAGTAGAAGTTGGAGAGCACTCAACCAACAATTAAGAAAACCCCAAAATAGAATCCCAATCCGAGGAGTAGTCTTGAGAATGGGGAAGGAAGAAAATACAGAGAAAATTAAAATTATAAAAAATCTTAAATAAGAAGTATACAAGTACACTACCAACAAATTCAATTATCCAAAATTTAAATTAAAAATTACTTACCAATAATAATTTTTTCCTTAGCAACCAACAACAATTTCTCCTCAGCTACCAATAGTGATTTCTTCCTACACTACCAGTAAACGAAGAATTCTACAGTTCGACAAATTTGCTGTTGAGAAATTGAAAAAACAATCGGAAAAAACCATGAGAGAGGTAGTAGCAGTATACAACCCTATTTACCCAAATATTGAACCCCCAAATACAACCAAATCTTCAACTATTGAGAGCTACTAATCACTATGAAAATTAAGCCCCATTAGAAGGTAAAATCAAGAATTTGTAAAGAAAACTCAAGAAATATGAAACACATGAAAGTCCCGAAAGTGGTTGTTCAAGGAGTACCTATTTGCATTGTTATTCCAGTTGCAAACTTTGCCTTTCATCTTTTCCCAATTTTTGGCTTCAAGCAGTCGAGGTGGATTTGGGTTCAGCTTTCCCTTCAAGCAGTCGAGAAGTCGAGGTGCGATTTGGGAATCAAAGCAGCAACTGGATTTCAAGCACTATAAAACCATCCAATGTTTCTTCCATAAAGTTTTTCTCTTATAAGAGGGAAATTTTCAGATCTAAAACATTAACTCAAACCCAATTTTTAGATTTGGGTACTTTCTCTTACGGTGTGGCAAAGAAGACAATAAGGCTTTGGGGCTATCAATGGAGTTTAGGAGGTATGGTGGGTATTGATATTTGGGGACATATGAGGAGAGTTAATACAATATAGAATATAAATTATAATTTTATATTTATATTTTGAAATTTAATTAAAAATAAAAAGAAATAGGGATTGTTATTGGCAGGTTTAGCAAAATTTAGGAGGAAAAATGAATAGAAGAAAATAGACCGTTCCGATAATAATTTTTTTCCAAATAACCGTTACCATAGACAGGTCTATTAGGCCGCCTTACAAAACCGTTGCGAAAGATATCTATCGCCACGGTTAAACTACAATTGTAACGGTTTGATATCTAAAGTGTGCTGCTATCATCCAACTTCTATTGTAACGGTTCTAACCGTTGCTATAGCATTTCTATGGCAACGGCCCTATAACCGTTACACAAAAACTGTTGCAATAGGCCCATTTTCTAGAAGTGTTTTACCTTCAATATGGGACTTCTCAGCGCGAGTTCAGAATTAGTCGGACCAAAAAGGGGTACCGGACAACGGATGAAAAAAAAAGAAATAACTCACTGCTTCATACTCCTCAAATCGACCAACATAATCTTCTTGAATTTCAAAGCTGCAATTTTGCAAAGTTTGATAAAAGAGCAACTAACATCTTTATATCCATTGGAATTTGACTGCTACAACCAGCTCAACTACTTCCATTTTATGGACCATTTCTTATATTTCACCTTTTTGAGGTAAGAAAAATGAACTTAGTGCTCTGATGGCTACAATCTCAAGTTCTGAACATCAGCTTATGACATCCTTACTTCTCCGTATCTTATAGCCTCAGTTTAGAACTGCTCAAACTACACCTTCTCAACCAATTCAAATTACTAAAATTCACCTCATGCATTGAACTTACATCATTTAAATGCACATCTACACAGGAACTACAACTTGCAGACAGAGCTAAACCAATCCTACTGGAACAGGCAGGGGCGGTTCTAGCGTACAGCTTACGGATGGATTCATCTGAATCCAATAGCTTTAGCTACAGGTTCAACTGAACCCATAATTTTTTACACGAAATTAATGCGGATCTACTCTATGAACACCCATTACTTTTGCAGCCAAACACTATTACTTATATAAGAAAATTAGGAATTCATATAAATAAATTAACTGAGCACCCAGTCTTAGTAGCAATTTTTAGATTAAAAATACTTGAGTACCCATGATTTGAAAATCTTGAATCCGCCACAAATAAAGTAAAAATTTATATGTAAATATCTATTAAATCTCAATAAATATTATAATAGAATCCATAATTTTAATAGTATAATGTATTCAATGCCGAGAATCTTAAAAATTGTACCCATTAAATTTAAATTTTGGATCCGCCTCGGTTGGCTCAGACGCTGCATGTGTTAACAACCCGCCAAATAAGTTCATTGTGAGCCATGTCCCTTCACACTCCACGCCAAAAAGAAATAAAAGGAAAAGAATAACCATAAAACAATGGAATGTACATTGGTTATTGTATAGGATAAAATATGTTATGCTAAGTAATTGCATAAGAAAGTGGCATGTAGAGTTGGAGGCAGAAGATAGCCAAAACCGAAGATAATTGTTTCATTTGTTAACAGAAGGAACGATGCTCATAAAGATGCAATAAATGTCTGTCACCTGGTAGCATTTAATGGAAAATAATCTACAACACTTAATACGATGCCCGTTACAAAAGAATATGGCATGCATGCCTGCCGTTACAGATTCTTCAATGGCCCTCATAATTGGCATTAAAGAGAGACTTGATTCTAGATCCTTATTCCCTAGGTGTAAGTATAAATAGTGAGCTATATCATCATTGTAGGGGACGAATTTTCTGACAAACTTATGCTATAATCTATTCAAAGCTCTATACAATTTTATCTTCTTACTTTTTGGTCATTATCGTTATGCCCAGAAGCCTCGCTCCCGGAATTACTATTTTTGCTACTTCATCTTCATATCAAGGCTAAGTGTTACATATTTCTTCAATTCTTTTATTATTTCAGGATCAAATTAATTCACTTGTATAGAAACCACGCGTAAATTCAACTATACCGTTTTACAGTAAACAGTTTGGTGCCCACCGTAGGGCCTAGACATCGTGTAATTAAGTTGATCCTTGCCTCTTTTGCTAACGTGTTTTGATTATTTGTCTTAGAAGAAAATCACAAAATATGGCAGATAATGGTGTTAACAATACACACAATCTTGAGGTCCAAGGAGACCAGCCTCAGCGTTAGGATTCGATCAGCGATACCCGCAATGAGGAGAGTGATGTCACGTGATCCACGACAAATGGTACCCACATCATGTTCGGGAGGCGATCCCTGATGACGCCGAAGAGGAGCAAGTTGTTGAAGGGTAAGAGTCTTGCAGGAGCAACAAGAGGCCATTCTAAGCCATCTCACACGGCAGGATAAGGTCATAACAGAATTAAAGCAGGCGTTGTCGGGTGCTTTCACTAATGCGAATGGGCGAGATACAGTTCCTCTCAATGCTCCCACAAATCAAACAACGTAGAGGGTCAACAATAACACCTCGAGGGGCGAGGTTGGCTTCGATGGGGATGGGGGGAGCGGATCAGGCCCTAACAACGAGAACGACCCCTTCAAGAGCAAACTCTTACGGTTTATAAGGGAAGTAAACACCCGCATGGACCAAATCCCGGGTGCACCATCGGTGTTGAAAGGGTTGGACTCATAGAAGTATACTCAATTGTCGTACAAACCAAGCTCGACACCAGAATTAATCCTGAAGCGGTCTAAAATGCCTGACGTGCCAAAATATGATGGGACTTCGGACCCTCATAAGCATATTAACATTTTTACAATGGCGGTGAATGGGAACGATTTAGCTCCCCATGAGATTGAATTTATTTTGCTAAAGAAATTCGGGGAGACTCTCACGAGGGGAGCCCGAGCATTCCATAGATTCCTTTGATATGCTCACAAATTCTTTTATTAAGGCACATGTTGGGGCCAGAAAGGTGCATGCCCGAAAGGTCGACATATTTAGAATTGCACAAGGAGAGTCACCCGGTTCCAAAAGCAAAGAATGTTGCTCCCGGCTATTCCAAATGAATGTGCAGCTGAAGCATTTACCAAGGGTCTAAATCCGAGAAGTTTTGATGCTTCTCGAAAAATGAAGGAAAGCTTGCTTGAGTTCCAAGCGACGACTTGGCAGATGTTCACAACCGGTATGATTCCAAGATAATGATTGAATATTATCATTTTGGCTTCCTGGCATTGACAAAGGTTGGGGGAAGAATAAAGAAAAATCAAATATGACTTTGACACAGATAGACAGTTTTTTAGGCCGGTTATTGCCCTACGAATGGACCGAAGTACGTGGCAGAAGCTCATAGTCGATAGACAGGTTCGTTACTAATAGAAGAATTGACCGCGGTCAGAACAATAGGTCAATGTAGGACAAAGAAGCATCAGGTATACGGGATCCTTCCTATCCTAGGCTATCGGAATACAACTTTAACATTAGTGTAGTAAAGCTGGTATCTTTTATTAGAAACATTAAAGAAGCACGGTTCCCGAAGCCGATGAGGTCCAATCCTAGCTAGAGGGATCCCAACTTGTGGTGCGAGTACTACAGGACGAATGACCACCGGACTGGAGATTGCTGACATCTGCATGAAGAGGTGGTGACGCTACTAAAAAATGGCCATCTTAGGGAATTCTTAAGTGACTGGGCCAAAAACAATTACGGTCGCAATTGCGATAATGATGAGAATTCAAAAGCAGGAGAAGACCCCCCATGTCTGACGATCAACATGATCTTCGGGGGGAACGAGATCAACGGGGTTACCTTCTCGGCAACAAAGAAAATGAAGGTATTGGTAACCCATAGCAAGAGACTACGGGAAGTCGTTGAAGACGACATCACTTTCATGGAGGAGGATGTAGACGGACTGTTGCTACCACACAACGATGCATTGGTAATTTCTATAAATGTACTAGATTTTCAAATTAAACGTGTTTTGGTGGATCCAGGAAGTTCAGCCAATATCATACAATGGAGGGTATTGGAGCAAGCTAAACTTACCAGAAGCATTATTCTGGCCACAAAACTCCTCGCCGGTTTCAATCTGCTAGCATTACAACCCGAGGAGAGATCCTGGTGCCCACGAACGCCGAAGGGGTGATGAAGGCGGCTCTTTTTAAAGTGGTGGACGGTGATATGGGTTATAATATTATTCTGGGAAGACCGTGGTTGCATGAGATGAGAGTCGTACCATCAACGTATCATCAGTTGTTGAAATTCCCGATACCCGAAGGAATCAAGCAGATTAGAGGTGCCCAACCGACAGCAAGGGAGATGAATGCGATTTTGATCTCTAGTAGCAAGGGGAAAGAGAATGTGGCATAGCAATTATAGAAACCGGTGCCTGCTCCTGAATTAAGTGAAGCTAACCAGGAGGGAGAATCATCGGAATCTTATAAGGTGCCAAGATACTTCCAGGTACCGGAAGAGATAGATGCAAGAAAATCCACAGCGGAAGAACTCAAGCAAGTTGTAATGTTTGAAAATTTCTTAGAAAGGAAATTCCACTTGGGAACAGGACTGCACCCCGAGCTCAGGTCTGGCTTTATTGGATTTCTTAAATATAATGCCGATTGTGTGGTTGCATGTGGATATGACAGGTATCCCAACAGAAGTGGACGTACACAAGCTGAGCTTGGATCCCAACATCCCTCCGGTAAGACAAAATAAACTCCTTATTGTGGAGGCTAGGAATAAATTTGTCAAAAAAGAGGTAACTTGCCCACTTGATATCGGTTTGATCCAAGAGTAAAGTACCCAGTTCCTAAGAAGAACATTAAGTTTTGCATGTGTGTAGATTATAAGAACTTGAATAAAGCATGCCCAAAAGACTCGTTCCCACTGTCAAACATTGATCAAATGATTGAGGCAATGGCCGGGCACGAGTTAATCAGTTTCCTCTATGCTTATTCCGGGTACAACCAAATCAAGATGAACTCGGAGGATCGGGAAAAGACTTCGTTCATAACGAATTTGGC